GCTGTCGTAGGTGTGGTTGGTGGCTGGTATTTGGTTTCAATCAGGCAGGTGTTTGCGGTGTCCCAGGCGCTCAACCTCCCAGGCACTCAACCACCATCAGCAAGGATTAGTGACAGCGCTTGATAGGCCGATAACATCATCAAGTGAGCTTGGCAATCCAATGTCGCTGTCATAGTGGGGTTATCATCCTGCCAGTCAATGCTTCTTCAACTAGTTGGATCGTGACTTCGCACGTCAACGAATTGACCGACATCTGTATTGTGGACTTTGAGGACATTCTCTTAGGTGATTCCAAATGGTATGCAATATGTCTCCACCGTGGCGGACACTCTTCTTTCTGTCTCTTGAATACTAACCACAGACTAAAGGCGCATGAGAACTCCGACGCTTATCCGATGCGCCTGCGCATGGAGGCCTTTATCCGACGGAAGCAGACAGAAATAATCTCAGCCCTGGAGGCACTTGACGGAGCCACATTTCGAACAGATGAATGGGAACGACCCAATGGCGGCGGTGGCGGCCGTACATGCGTTCTACAAGATGGTCACGTCCTTGAGAAGGCTGGGGTGAACATCAGCATCGTCCATGGCAAGCTCAATCGCAGCGCTGTCGAGGAGATGCGACAGAACCACAAAAATATCGCTACCGATGCAGATGAGCTGGACTTCTACGCGCTAGGGCTGAGCATGGTCGTTCATCCAAAGAATCCAATGGCACCCACGGTGCACATGAACGGGCGCTACTTCGAGACTGTTCGCGATGGCTCTGTGCAGACCTCTTGGTTCGGCGGCGGCAGTGACCTTACCCCAAGCTATCTTTTTGAGGAAGATGCGAAACATTTCCATGCAACACTCAAGTCGGCGTGCGATGAACACGATGTTGGTTATTATCCCAAGTTCAAGAAGTGGTGCGACGAGTACTTCAATATCAAACATCGTGGAGAAAGGCGAGGAGTGGGGGGTATTTTCTTCGACGATCTTGATGAGAACTTTGGGAACCTTGAACAAATCTTCGCATTCGTGCAGGCGACTATGAATGCGTTGGTACCAGCTTACATACCGATTGTGGAAAAGCGGAAAGCTCTTCCGTTCAATGACCACGAGAAGGAGTGGCAGCAAATCCGCAGGGGAAGATACGTCGAGTTCAACCTCGTTCATGATCGCGGAACGGCTTTCGGTTTGAATGTGCCTGGTTCAAGGATTGAGAGCATTCTCATCAGTCTTCCAGTCACAGCTCAGTGGCACTACATGTATGAGGAGCCGGAACCCGATAGTCGGGAGGGCAAGCTCCTTGAGGTGCTACGGAGTCCTCGGGAGTGGGTTTGAGGTGCCTCAGACGTAGAAAAGAGACGAAATTAGTGCCTTCATCGTCATTTACCCTCACAATTGGGCATGGGTCGCAACTGGCGACTTGCGGGATTTCGCAATTGCATTCGCCGGAGTTTTCGCTTTCACACGGCCTGCGAACAATGAGTCGCGCAATCCTCCTGCACAATACTCCCAGGTATCCAGGTTTTGGAGCAATTTGATGATGGTCGGCAACTGATTGAAATTCTGGGAGAAAATCCACGTGGCTTAGAAGATCCATTCCATGTGTTTGGCTGCATGATGGACGCGCATTTTCCTCTGTGGCTTTCTAGAATTCTCTTGCTAGTAAGGTAATCTCAATAATGCCGGTATCATCACATGAAGTCAACACCTTACTCAAGCCCCTTCGTATTTCAACCAACCGGTCAAATTTCCTTGACATTCTCCACCTCCCACACTGCGCCTTTGCACTGAGGCTCTCTGAATCTTCCCGTTTCGCCTGCGGAGCAGTGATAAAGGAAGCCGTACCCGTTACACGCGACTAAGACCGTTGAGTCAACCTTCCCAGCACGGAGGACAAGCTGACTTTGCTTATGAACGACGGAGGTTCCCGAATCACCGCAGAAGTAGACGTTGTTCTGTTTCAGTCCGCAGTTTGACACTCTTGTGTATGAGTTCGGCTTGCCGTTGAAGGCGCCCTCGCCGCAAGCCGCAAGGGCCTGGCCATACAGCAGGGCCGTGGCCAGGATGGGGAAGTAGGAAATTTGCCTCTTGGCTGAGTGTAACCGGGGTAAAAGAAGGTGACTGTGCGTCATGTTCTGTCAACATGTAGTCCAAATTTACTTAAGATCTGTTAGAATGCATGCTTACCTACTTTGCTTGAAGAGAAGCCGAAACTGGAGTGCGTGGTGATTGGGAGAAATCAACTGCTGCCTTGCACACTTGGGTACTTATTCTTTCCACCTTTGCTCTTCTTAGTAAGAGTGCTTCTCGGCATCGTCGGTAGAATAATTTGGTCATTGATGAAGTCTCATCTCGCCAAACGCCATCAAAACTTTAATCGGTGCCAACCGCAAGGGAACCTGAGTAATGAAGCGCATTTTCCAAATACTAACGGAACACTCCAAGTGCCTCACTTGGTCTTCTGATCAAACAAAGCATTCAAGGCCCAGGTCTTACTAGTAGCATTCATTGGTGCAAAGATAGATCAACCATACCACCAAGTCTCTCAAGTCAGAGGCTCAACAACAAAAGACTCATTGACTGCCCAAGTGCTAATAGGGGGCGCGCAACTTTAGTCAAGGCATGCTTCAGCAAGTCACTTGTGAGCCGATGTTAAAGTCTTGGACGCGAGTACCTAGGGATCGCAGCTGAGGATAGATGATTCAACAACTTGTAACTGAGCACGCTCGTGACTAACATGCACTGGCGACATATTGTTAGCGTGACATGCATAGAGATTCCGATCGTGTTACTCAGCTGCCACATTTGTAAACACCTATTACCAAAACCCCTCCATCATGGACAGGAAGGGCTGTGCGCCAAATCACTTTCACTCAAGTTTTCCAGGCATTCTGCGTGCTGGATCCACGCTATGCAACCCGGCATCGGACCCGCACTTATTTTATCAACCCCTTGGTGAAAGTTCAACATCATGAGATTGAGGAAAGTGAAAGTCCTGAACGTACGACCATCTCAGCGTCGAATACTGCTTCTGTAAGGGCTTGCTCAAATGACTCTTCACAAGGTTTGACTATATCGTTGTTATGCGTTTAAACGAGACACGCGAGTTTTAGGGCCTCGTGACCCCAATTGCCACTTAATTCCGATTGGATTGGCCGGTGGTTCCTAATATCGCTCATGTCATCATTGTGCTTCGTCACACCAGAATCACGCATGCCCTCCTCATTTTCGAGATGCGTTGTCTATCCACGACCGCAGCCGCTTCAGCATATCACTGATACCATGGATACCGAGTCTCCGTCTGTCATTTGCATCTGTCAAGATCAGGAGGGAGAGGCACTTGCGGCGGCTGTTCTCGGAAGCGATGACGAAGGATTTCCCGTCACCGAGACGAAAACAACAAGCTCGGACAGGGGAACAGCGAAAATTCTCATTTTGGGCCCTTCCAATGATGTGTTCAGCACGGGCGACCTACAGTACAAATTTACAAATCTTTCGTCGACCCAATCCATTATTGTGACAGTCATCCACACTCAGCCGCTGCTAGACGCGAACTCCATAGACTTATTCCTAAGCCCATGCCTTGGGAACGAGACAGGCGCTCTGTCACCGCTACAACACGCTGTCAGTGTTCTCCATGCGGAGGTCGGGGACTTCGGGGGTTGGCTTTCGCATCATCCTTTCGCCTCTTCTTCTGATTCAATTTCCTCGGGTTTGGGCAGCCCACTTGGAGACCAACCAAAGCTACATTATGACATCACTTTGGAATCTCTTTCTGCTACCCCAGCACTTCCATCGGCTGCACTACGTGAGCCTTCTGGGTGCCTGTGTATTGGACTTAGCTGAATAGTGATTAGAAGTTCTTCAGACCTATCATCATGGGATAGTCGTAGGCGTATTCGCGGTACAGACCAATGACACCAATATCGATTCACGATCATTCCAGAATGCGGTTCTACTCGCAAAGGAACTTCGATTTCTGGCAGTTGACCCCGACTCTTCGCTATTGACGATAGAGTCTCTTTCAGCCACAGAGCATATTGTGCCGGCAAGGCCAACACCGCAGCCGAAGCCGTTACCTACATACCATTTCCCCACCTGTGGAAAGAATGTTCTTCTAGTCATACCAACTGAAAATGCCAACAAGAAGGAGGTCCTTGAAAAGGACATCATGCGAAGAGCGCCTGCTGGCACTCAAATACATATCATAACATTCCCAGTTGAGTCGGGAGTTGGAGAGCAGCCCTACAATATTGCAGGCTCAGAAGGCGCTCGCAATCGTATTATGAATGCCCTTGCTAGGCTTCAGTCACCAAAATATGCCGAAACATTTGCCAAAGAAAATATCGGATCGGTCATCGCGGCCTCTATTGAAAACTATGTTCAAACGGAGGACATTGATCGCCCGGCTGACTTTGCGATTGCAATTGTTCATAACGCCTCCACAGGCCAGACGCGATCAAGTTCATCGCGCGGTGTAACTATCGCGCCTCGGTACGTCGATCGCGCTCGAAGGTTTGGGACGAACAGAGATGCCAATTATGGCAATGTTACGGTGGGCAAGATCATGGCTGCTCGTGTTGCTCAGCTTGATCATGCAGATTGGCACGGCGTGGTGGCTGGTATTTCCAGATATGATTTGCTAGCTGAGGCAGTTGCCAAAATCCAGATACCATGGTAGCAACCAACAAGGACGTCATTCGTCGAACCACAAGAGCTAATGCTATCGACAAGATTAATGGTCACTGTCGCTTTCAATGATGAGACACACTGGTCTTTGCCTTCTTGTCTTGCTGCCATCAGACTTCCGTGAAATAAATTTACTGCCATTGTGAACCTGGTCGATGACATTGTTCAAGTGAAGTATGATGAAGTTGTTTTGCTGATCTCAATAAGTACTAGTCATCCAACTCTGGGTACTGCAGGAAAGCCGCCAAAACGTTGCCCTTCGAAATTTTAGTGAGTTCCTGTACTCTGTTCTCTTGTAAATCAGTGCGAAGTTACTGGAATTTATGCTGTCTTATTCTTCGAAGATCCCCCGAGAATCTTTTCTCTGATTGTCCTGGCAGAACCCCCGATCCATACCCGCCATACCGCCACCACAAAAAGGGTCAGTGGTACCGTTACTACCCAGTATATCCAGAATCGAGTAGAAAAGTTCCATCCATACTCGTGAAACTCGAAGAATGTGGTGCTGAACAAAGCCTTAAAAATGATTAGGTGGGGTGGTTTACATTCTGAGTGGCATTCAGCTTGCTTACCGATATGAAAGTGGCAGGCAAAAATATCATCGTCAGTAGGGTAATGGATTTCATGATCAGACTGTCCGTGTTTGCGATGACGTTGTACGCCTAAGGGTCTACTTTAGCAGCCTAGACGCGATGAGATACTTGTGGTAATCAGTGGACCTACCAAGTTCATTTCTCCATCCAATCTTTCGGAGTTAGCTTGGGAACGTCGCCTGAGGCTCTTCATTATCTGCAGCTGAAACCGCAAGTACTCAATTGCTTCTGACTGGTAGTCTTCCTCCAATCCAAGCTGCTTAAAGTTGTCTTCTTGCCTAGAGGCCAGCCGTTCCAGGGTCTCGACACTAACTTCTTGTACTTCTTCGAGATGCCGCGCATGTCTACGAAGATCATTCAGGTCATCGAACGAAGGTCTCTTTGAGCGAGTCTGCATGTAGTCAGTACAGCTCAATGCAGGCATCATAACGCAAGGCCGAATGTAATGGATCACAGCCTGGGTGCGGTTTATGTGCCTTACCGTCTCGTGTTTTCGAATCTCTTTGGACATTCGCCAGGTGTACTGGTCACTGATCTTGAGGACCTCGTCTAAAAGTGGACGAAGCATTGCAAAAGGATCCTGAAATTCGACAGGACCTGAAAGCCTCAATGATTCGAGCATGCGTTCCTCCAATTCTGCCGGTGTGTCGATGCACAAAACCTGGTTGGTACCATTTGAAGTCCATCGCGTGAAGAACGCCATTTCATACCACTCGTACTTCTTAGCACTTCCGTGTCTACATACCTCACCAGGCATGAAAATCTTTTTGGTCAGGATACGAGTCCAGGTGGCTAGCAAAGTGCCAAGTATTAGCGGCTTCCAACCTGTTCATATCAAAATCAGAGGGAGAAGGGGTGCTTTTCCCTGTGTCCTCAGAGTGTGCGGTCTCTCTTACTTAGTGATTTGAACTTTCCGTGCGATGGATCTTTGCCGGAACTCTTGCATCCGAAGTAGCCGTTCAGTTCAGCACAAGTCTTATTGGTGACGAAGTCCGGGACTTTGAAACATTTCAAGACCTTGCGGCGGTGCTCGTCTGATTGGTCTCTCTTTCCAATTCGTTGGTCTGCCTTTCCTTTGAACGAAAGTTCATCTTGGAGAAATCTTGCATGGGTCTGTCAGTTACTTTCCGATCTATTCTAGCGGTATTTGCATTACAAGTAGCATTTCTCCTCAAGTTTAGGTTTGTCCTCAAGTAGGTCGATAGTTGCAGGAGACCATTGCCACTTTTCTTTTGAATTTAGCACACATTCAATTTCAAGACGAAAATTACCTATGTTATTGGAGTCCACGAACCATCATAAAATAGAACCGTCGCCGTCATGTTTGCGAACTACTAGATAATAGATTCCGCGTTTGTAGTTATCTTCCCCGTGGCATAACTACTTTGAACTAAGACACCGCTCGAGATATGTTTACCAAGGAATGTTGCGAGCACGAGTAGGGACGCTCAGTTCTCAACCATTGATTCGGAGGAATTGGATACTGTACTGAAATGAAGGATCCCGACTTTAAATGTGCCTCGCGGGGGCATAATGACAAGAAATACCGCACCTGTACACGGCTGCATTGGGTCGCTCTGCATCGATGTAAAATGCGGGGCAGGGTGTATTATCCTTGTTGCACCACAACATCTAGCCAACTAAATGAAAGTACGTGGTCTGGTGATTGCCCTGGCGCTGACGGGGTCTGTTGGCGAGCTTTGTGGCAGAGAAGGCGACCAGTAGCAAAACCGCATGCTTTTCGTGACCAAGGATATATGCCTCGCAACACGCGACTTTCCTGCAGCTCCATTACTGTCGCCTGTCTTACTGTCTCAGCCTGCCTAATCACCGAATATGTGTACGTGAGTAGACCCGAAAAGACGCGAGCTTCGAACAGAGCTGCTTGAGCCATAGGGCATTTAGTTGTGCTCCACTGAATCACACGCGGAGTGATAGTGCATCTCTGTTGATGAAATACCAGGCTGACGGTACTACGAAATGACATGAGCGATCAACTTCAACACAGTTGATTCCTTGAACATCCATGGCATGGATATGAGCCAAGTCTCGCTCAAAATGACTTACTTAATCGAACAAAGACATTGCGGATACACTTACAACGACATGCTGCATGTTTCTATGTCCATTGGCTAATTAATAAGTTGACAAAAGGCCAGATCGGAGATCGAAGATCATACAAGGTATGAAACTTAAGATCATTACCACCGGCAATGTACGAACGTCTCAAAGTACGAACGTGTCCAAGTCAGGGATCGAGGCCCTGAGCATGTATTTGGGCTCCCCTCTTGAGCATCGTGGCTATTCTTGTTTTGGTCTGGAGATTTTGCCAGGAATATTCATCGTGATTCTATCTCGCGTTCGCCCCATATGTGTATGTGGCACTGACCTCAGTTAGCATTATGTATGTCAGCGACGAAGGAGACGATTTTAGCCAGGGGTCACCTAAAAGTTGGGCCTTTCGGGTCGTCAACTCCACCAGCGAGAATGAAAAGATCTTTGGCATCCCGAACACTGGCTTGCTTTAGCGAACATCTGCCCTGCCCGGAAAAGGCTCTGCTGAGCTAACTCTCGACATGGAAGGTCCTCGAAATGCGAGTCGTCCTTCGGACGAGCAGCCGAATGCAGGTTACATTGGGGACCCGCTGGAGCACTGGGAACGCCGATGGTGAACGGCTCAAAGCTGCCAGGCCAGGCTTTAGTGGGTTGAATGGGCGGGAACATCGGGGTTTAACTCTAGGCTGCCGCCAACGAACGCCCCACGATGGCACACCGCATATACGCGATGAACCGTTGGTACTTGACTTCTTGCCTGCCCATGCATTCTATCACTTCTAAGCCGTCAATTGATTAGAGAATGGATCGGCAACGGAGTCCTGATATTCCAATACGCCCTGTTGGCAAGCGTGGTAAGACTATTATTGCAGTCAAGCGAACGTCAACCGAGGGTTCAACTCGGCGAGCCAGGTGCTGATCCGCACTGGTATCCTCGCGGCAGGGGGGTCCCTGAGGTGGCTTTCAGGTCAGACCGGCAACAAACAACACGATCATGCTTAGGCGACGGCATGCCGCGGGCCGTCCAGTGGGTACTGACCTTCACTTGTGGATAAGATACCTTCAAGCGAGTGAAGCTTTTCCCTTTCCATTACAGACCGTTATGTCCAGCTTACATGCAGCGCTGAATCGGCTCAGGCGGATAGCTTAACTGAGCCTTACCGACCCTGGTAACTTCTTTCTACGTTGTAAATGAAGCTGACATCGATACGGGGCATCAAAAAGATCTTTTGTACGAAATATCGAAGAAGAGTAGTTCCACAGATACCAGGCAGGCAACCTTTTGGCAAACTGAGCAAGACAAGGCATCTCAAGAACTTGACCAAAGAAATGGATATTTAAACGAATAAATTTTGCTGCGAATCTTTCCCTCTTCTTCCTGTCTGTCCACCAGCAGCTCCCACCACAACCAGCGATTTGCTCCAATTTATTCAAGATGGTCTCCTTCACCCTTCCCGTCCTCGCCACTCTGGCCCTGGCAGCCCTTACCACGGCCGCCCCGACAACTCAGACCGACTCCGTCGAGGTCTTCTCCTTCTCCAAGTGGGTCGACGGTATCATTGCCAACCCGGACGGCGACAACCTCACCCCCGAGGAGGCCGTCGAGGCGTGGCACGCGTCCCTCAACGAGACCAGCGCCGCCGCCGAGAACGGCCTGCTCCAGAAGAGGTACTACTGCAACACAATCCCCAACACCGAGGCCTATGTAAGTAAACATCAAGCAGTGAGAATCTAAGCGCGTCGTATCTAACCTATATGACCAGGTCCCCGACGCCGTCACGTGCATCAACGAACTCGCCCGCAAGGGCGGCCAAGCCTGCCAAGTGGACCGCTCCAGCGTCTTCTGCGTTGCCGGACGGGCTCAGATTACCGGTGTCGCCGGCGGTGGCGCTACTACCACTTCTTCGTCTTGGTGAGTCCACTTACTGTCTGCGTCTTTGTTGTTGCTCGAGCAATCAGCTGACCCAATGTTTCAGCAACGACGTCGCTCGTGGTGCTGGGTTCGTGATGGACTACTGCACGCGTGCGGATAACACCGTCCAGGGAGCCGAGTATGCGTACGGCAACGGAAACTTGCTTGTCTGGATCCGCAAGCCTGGCAACTAAGCTTCGTTCCGGTATATGTACACGAGGCTTTGGTCACCAGGCTCGTAGTATATAACGGCCAAGATGTATTGTCTCGATATATGCTTCATCATGTACATAAAGTTATCTACGATCACGATCATGATTAAATGTTAATATCTGTTGTTGCATTTGCCATCTTAGTCTCTATATCATCTTCTATTCCGTTTCTTAGTTGCTCTTGGATGATAAGTCCTGTGAAAGGCTTTGGCCATATACTTCCTGTCGACTGCTATAAGGTAGCGACTGTATGCTGTTGCTCCTATGATCGATCCATTCAGACCTCCTTGTCTTAGAAGTCCTCGACTTTCATATTATCATTTTGATCACGTCTGCTCGCTTCAACACCCTCCCGGAAAGGAACGGCACATGCAACCTATAGGCGGCTTAGAATAAATCGATGACACTCGAAATGCAGCATCATCGACAAGTTGATTGGTTCCGGTCCGACTCACCAAAACCGGGACCAATCCTATGCTGTCAGCTCAAGCCTCACATGTGCAACCGTTAGTGCCGCGTCTCTATCAACGCAACAAACAACATGAACCCAGCTCCACGCTTCTCCCCGTAGCGCAAACCCATCATCATGGCTGCCTGCGAAGCTAACCCCGACGCACCTAAATCTCTCTTCCTCCAAACTCCTCAGCGCCAGTACCCCTCGCAACACGTCCTCATCTCCTGCGGCACCGTCCCCGTCGACCCGGCCTCTCGTAAAATCGCCGTCCTGCGCGACATCGCAGACAACACCGTCTGGCTTCCCAAGGGCCGCAAAGAAATCGGCGAAGACCTTCTTGCCACGGCTTTGCGCGAGACGCGCGAGGAAACCGGATTGCAGGTCGAGGCGCTCCCTCTCAAGGTAGCCACGCGGGCCACGCCTGATCCTAAGCTTCAGGGGACCTTTCCTGTTGGCGAGAATGCTGATGTGACGGACGGCCTAGAGAATTGTGAGGCGTCGTCGGTTTGTGTGTACCCGTGCGTCTTCACTCGTGCGTTGAAGATCGTGTTCTGGTTTGCGGCGAGGGTTGATGTAGAGGATGTTCCTCGGGATGTGGAGAGGGTGCCTTGGGATGAAAATATGAGACTGGAGTGGGTTGAGGCGAGGGAGGCGGCCGGGATGATGGCGTTTAAGGCGGACGGGCAGGTAGTTGAGAAGGTTTTGGATGACATGCAAAAGTCTGGGTACGACATTTAACGATCGAAAGGGAATGAAGACTTGGGTTGGCACGAGTGATGAACAGTGAAGTTCGATATCGAAGTGGCTATGCCGGATTTAACATTAGGTAGGGGTATTGTCTATCATCGCGCGTCTAATCTAAACGGTCTTTACTTGAACGCTGGCTGCTTCCTGATGAGCCCGTCTGCGCCTCATCAACCTCAACAACACTCATGTCGGTGCGGACGTTGAAGGTCCGACCTCTCCAATTCACAGTGGATCCGCAAAAAACCGCCCAGGTCCAGATGGGAAGAGCAAGGAATTCTCTGCCAAGCCAAGCAGGCAGCCATTCGAAGAAGGATCTGGCAGGG